AAAAAAAAAAAGAATTACACTGAATTTTTCCGTTTTTGTTTTTGTTTTTTTTTTTTGGCAAAAACTTTTACTACTTTTTTTCATATTAACCTTTGATCTGTCTGACACTGGATTTCTTCTCTAATTATTTTTTATCTGTACAACCAGAAATACACAGTGAAACAAAACTATACATCATGCTGTGCATCTGCTTACTCTACTTTGGCTCTACTTTGGTAACATAATGCAAGCAAGAGGATTAGCTTACAACAAAACGGTTTTTGAGTTCTAACTGTTTCTGTTTTGGGTGTCACTAATGCATAACTTCATTGCTTTATTCCTCTTAACGATAGAACAGTTTAGTTGGTGGCATTTATACCTATTTGTTTGAACCTAATTTAGTATTTAGTCTAGTACTGCTTCTGCTTTACTTTCCATTGATTTGGTTTGGTTTGACTTCGTTTAATTTAGTTTTTTTCTTCAAATAAACTGACTTAGAACTTTGTGTCAATTACGATAAAAACAGATTAATTAAATATGAATATATACACATCAAAAGTCTTTAATGAGCCAACTAACTAACCATTAACCTATCAGTGGGTATATTATTACATCTTTTTCTCCCTCTTCTCTCCTCTCTCCTGCCTTCTTGTTTCCGCCCCTTCTCCCATTTTGATATCAGCGACGTACCCAAGCAACAGTTATTGAATTTATTGCTTAAGTTGCAAAAAAGAGCACATGACCGCTAAAAAGGTAGTCTTTGTAAACTAATATACTTTTCGAACAGCACTTATTTTGCTTTTTATCCCGCTTGTTATGTAAGCATCGAATAAGAGAGGAGGAATCCTTGTAAGCTGCTTTGTTGTTTATACAATTTAGACAGACAAAATTCCAATAAGACATCAGTTTTTCGGTGAATTCTTATTTTAAAAAGTAATTTTTTGATGCATTGCCACCACCAGCAGCAACGGCAGTGTTTATCTTTTGAGTCGTAAAACTTAAACATTTATTGTTCAGGTTGA